TCTGAGCTGGAAGACTTCAGTAGTGTCAGTCTGAGCTGGAAGACTTCAGTAGTGTCAGTCTGAGCTGGAAGACTTCAGTAGTGCCAGCCTGAGCTGGAAGACTTCAGTACTGTCAGCCTGAGCTGGAAGACTTCAGTACTGTCAGCCTGAGCTGGAAGACTTCAGTAGTGTCAGCCTGAGCTGGAAGACTTCAGTAGTGTCAGTCTGAGCTGGAAGACTTCAGTAATGTCAGTCTGAGCTGGAAGACTTCAGTAGTGTCAGCCTGAGCTGGAAGACTTCAGTAGTGTCAGTCTGAGCTGGAAGACTTCAGTAGTGTCAGTCCTGAGCTGGAAGACTTCAGTAGTGTCAGCCTGAGCTGGAAGACTTCAGTAGTGTCAGCCTGAGCTGGAAGACTTCAGTAGTGTCAGCCTGAGCTGGAAGACTTCAGTAGTGTCAGCCTGAGCTGGAAGACTTCAGTATGTCAGCTGAGCTGGAAGACTTCAGTAGTGTCAGCCTGAGCTGGAAGACTTCAGTAGTGCCCAGCCTGAGCTGGAAGACTTCAGTAGTGTCAGCTGAGCTGGAGACTTCAGTAGTGTCAGCTGAGCTGGAAGACTTCAGTAGTGTCAGCCTGAGCTGGAAGACTTCAGTAGTGTCAGCCTGAGCTGGAAGACTTCAGTAGTGTCAGCCTGAGCTGGAAGACTTCAGTAGTGTCAGCTGAGCTGGAAGACTTCAGTAATGTCAGCTGAGCTGGAAGACTTCAGTAGTGTCAGCCTGAGCTGGAAGACTTCAGTAGTGTCAGCCTGAGCTGGAAGACTTCAGTAGTGTCAGTCTGAGCTGGAAGACTTCAGTAGTGTCAGTCTGAGCTGGAAGACTTCAGTAGTGTCAGCCTGAGCTGGAAGACTTCAGTATGTCAGCTGAGCTGGAAGACTTCAGTAGTGTCAGCCTGAGCTGGAAGACTTCAGTAGTGTCAGCCTGAGCTGGAGGACTTCAGTAGTGTCATCCTGAGCTGGAAGACTTCAGTAGTGTCAGCCTGAGCTGGAAGACTTCAGTAGTGTCAGCCTGAGCTGGAAGACTTCAGTAGTGTCAGTCTGAGCTGGAAGACTTCAGTAGTGTCACTTGAGATGGAAGACTTCAGTAGTGTCAACCTGAGCTGGAAGACTTCAGTAGTGTCAGTCTGAGCTGGAAGACTTCAGTAGTGTCAGTCTGAGCTGGAAGACTTCAGTAGTGTCAGTCTGAGCTGGAAGACTTCAGTAGTGTCAGCCTGAGCTGGAAGACTTCAGTAATGTCAGCCTGAGCTGGAAGACTTCAGTAGTGTCAGCCTGAGCTGGAAGACTTCAGTAGTGTCAGCCTGAGCTGGAAGACTTCATTTAGTGTCAGCCTGAGCTGGAAGACTTCAGTAGTGTCAGTCTGGCTGGAAGACTTCAGTAGTGTCAGCCTGAGCTGGGAGACTTCAGTAGTGTCAGCCTGAGCTGGAAGACTTCAGTAGTGTCAGCCTGAGCTGGAAGACTTCAGTAGTGTCAGCCTGAGCTGGAAGAGTTCAGTAGTGTCAGTCTGGGCTGGGAGACTTCAGTAGTGTCAGTCTGAGCAGGGAGACTTCAGTAGTGTCAGCCTGAGCTGGAAGACTTCAGTAGTGTCAGCCTGAGCTGGAAGACTTCAGTAGTGTCAGTCTGAGCTGGGAGACTTCAGTAGTGTCAGTCTGAGCTGGGAGACTTCAGTAGTGTCTCCTGAGTGGGAGACTTCAGTAGTGTCAGCCTGAGCTGGGAGACTTCAGTAGTGTCAGCCTGAGCTGGGAGACTTCAGTAGTGTCAGCCTGAGCTGGGAGACTTCAGTAGTGTCAGCCTGAGCTGGGAGACTTCAGTAGTGTCAGCCTGAGCTGGGAGACTTCAGTAGTGTCAGCCTGAGCTGGGAGACTTCAGTAGTGTCAGCCTGAGCTGGGAGACTTGAACAGTGTCAGCCTGAGCTGGGAGACTTCAGTAGTGTCAGCCTGAGCTGGGAGACTTCAGTAGTGTCAGCCTGAGCTGGGAGACTTCAGTAGTGTCAGCCTGAGCTGGGAGACTTCAGTAGTGTCAGCCTGAGCTGGGAGACTTCAGTAGTGTCAGCCTGAGCTGGGAGACTTCAGTAGTGTCAGCCTGAGCTGGGAGATTTCAGTAGTGTCAGCCTGAGTGGAGACTTTAGTAGTGTCAACTGAGCTGAAGACTTCAGTAGTGTCAGCGGGAGCTGGGGACTTCAGTATGTCAGCTGAGCTGGGAGACTTTCAGTAGTGTCAGTCCTGAGCTGGGAGACTTCAGTAGTGTCAGCCTGAGCTGGGAACTTCAGTAGTGTCAGCCTGACTGGGAGACTTGCTGTCAGCCTGAGCTGGGAGACTTTAGTAGTGTCAGCCTTGAGGCTGGGAAGACTTTAGTAGTGTCAGACTGAGCTAAAGGGACTTAAGTAGTGTCATCCTGAGCTGGGAGACTTCAGTATGTCAGCCTGAGCTGGGAGACTTTAGTAGTGTCAGTCTGAGCTGGGAGACTTCAGTAGTGTCAGCCTGAGCTGGAAGTCTTCAGTAGTGTCAGCCTGAGCTGGGAGACTTCAGTAATGTCAGCCTGAGCTGGGAGACTTTAGTAGTGTCAGTCTGAGCTGGGAGACTTCAGTAGTGTCAGACTGAGCTGAAGACTTCAGTAGTGTCATTTTGAGCTGGGAGACTTCAGTAGTGTCAGCCTGAGCTGGGAGACTTTAGTAGTGTCAGTCTGAGCTGGGAGACTTCAGTAGTGTCAGCCTGAGCTGGAAGTCTTCAGTAGTGTCAGCCTGAGCTGGGAGACTTCAGTAGTGTCAGCCTGAGCTGGGAGACTTCAGTAGTGTCAGCCTGAGCTGGGAGACTTCAGTAGTGTCAGCCTGAGCGGGGAGACTTCAGTAGTGTCAGTCTGAGCTGGAGACTTCAGTAGTGTCAGCCTGAGCTGGAAGACTTCAGTAGTGTCAGTCTGAGCTGGAAGACTTCAGTAGTGTCAACCTGAGCTGGGAGACTTCAGTAGTGTCAGCCTGAGCTGGGAGACTTCAGTAGTGTCAGCCTGAGCTGGGAGACTTCAGTAGTGTCAGTCTGAGCTGGGAGACTTCAGTAGTGTCAACCTGAGCTGGAAGACTTCAGTAGTGTCAGCCTGAGCTGGAAGACTTCAGTACTGTCAGCCTGAGCTGGAAGACTTCAGTAGTGTCAGCCTGAGCTGGAAGACTTCAGTAGTGTCATCCTGAGCTGGAAGACTTCAGTACTGTCAGCCTGAGCTGGAAGACTTCAGTACTGTCAGCCTGAGCTGGGAGACTTCAGTAGTGTCAGCCTGAGCTGGGAGACTTCAGTATGTCAGCCTGAGCTGGAAGACTTCAGTATGTCAGCCTGAGCTGGGAGACTTCAGTAGTGTCAGCCTGAGCTGGGAGACTTCAGTAGTGTCAGCCTGAGCTGGAAGACTTCAGTAGTGTCAGCCTGAGCTGGGAGACTTCAGTAGTGTCAGCCTGAGCTGGAAGACTTCAGTAGTGTCAGTCTGAGCTGGGAGACTTCAGCAGTGTCAGCCTGAGCTGGGAGACTTCAGTAGTGTCAGTCTGAGCTGGAAGACTTCAGTACTGTCAGCCTGAGCTGGAAGACTTCAGTACTGTCAGCCTGAGCTGGGAGACTTCAGTAGTGTCAGCCTGAGCTGGGAGACTTCAGTAGTGTCAGCCTGAGCTGGAAGACTTCAGTAGTGTCAGCCTGAGCTGGGAGACTTCAGTAGTGTCAGCCTGAGCTGGAAGACTTCAGTAGTGTCAGCCTGAGCTGGAAGACTTCAGTAGTGTCAGCCTGAGCTGGGAGACTTCAGTAGTGTCAGCCTGAGCTGGAAGACTTCAGTAGTGTCAGTCTGAGCTGGGAGACTTCAGCAGTGTCAGCCTGAGCTGGGAGACTTCAGTAGTCTCATGAAGTAGGGAGACGGGTGAAATACCATGATTCTGGTGAAGGGTTCTTGGTCCAAGGAATCAGAGCTACCCTTTACCTTTCTCTGAGAGGAGAGGGGGGAGCTGTAGGGACCCTTGGGTTTAGAACTTTTCAATATATTTAATACTAAGAGTGCCATGTGAGCGTCGCCTTGATCACAAGGTGCACTAACTCTGCTACCCTCACCTACCTTGACAGAGGGGCACGATGTGGACACTGAACTTGACAGGTAGGCACGGGGCGAGCAGTGACCTTGACGGATGGGCACTGACCTTGATGGATGGGAAATGACCTTGACAGGTGTGCATGGGGTGGGCACTGTCCTTGACAAGTAGGCACGTGGTGGGCACTGACTTTGACAGGTAGGCACCGGGTGGACAATGCCCTTGGCAGGTAGGCACGAGGTTGGCACTGATTTTGGCAGGTGGGTATGGGTAGATACTGACCTTGACATTGAGCACGGGGTAGGTACTAATTTTGACAGGTGGGCACTGACCTTAACAGGTGGGCACTGATCTTGACAGGTGGGCACTGACCCTGACAGGTGGGCACTGACCTTTACAGGTGGGCACAGTGTGGGCACTGACCCTAACATGTATACACTGACCTTGACGTAGGCATAGGATGCGTAATGACCTTCCTGGTGAGCACGGGGTAGGTACGGACCTTGACAGGTGGGTATTGGTCTTAACAAGTGATCACTGACCTTGACTGATGGGCACTGACCCTGCCAGTTTGGCATTGACCTTGACAGGTGGGCACGGTGTGTACTACCTTGACAGGCGGACACTGATCTTGACGGGTGGGCTTTGGATGGGCATGACCTTCACAGGTGAACATGGGAGTGGGTTCTGACCTTAAAAAGTAGGCACTGACCTTGACAAGTAGGCACTGATCTTGACAGGCTGGCAATGACCTTGATATTTAGGCACGAGGTGGGTACTGACCTTCCTGGTGAGCACACGGTAGGTATTGAACTTGACTGGTAGGTACTGACCTTGACACGTGGGCACGGGGTGGGCATTGACCTTGACAGGTGGGAACGGGGTGGCCATTGGCCTTGTCAGGTGAGCACGGGATGGGCACTGACCTTGACAGGTGGGCACGGGGTGGGACCAGGTACCATTAGCAGTGCAGGTTAGGATGGTGTGACCCAGTAGACGGTAGCCAGGTACACAGGTGAAGACTGCGGCACCTGTGTAGGTGGTGTTGGCCACCTGCAGCTGCAGGTGAGGGTCGTCAGGTGCCAGCACGGGGCATCGCACCAACTGGCACTGCCCTGCGGAGCCAGACCAATCCCCTGTGGGTGGGGCGTGGGGGTCAGATGGGTGATGGTAGAGGTGGATGTTGTTGTGGTAAGAGTACCAGAAGTAATGTAGTAGCAGTAGTAGTAATAGCAGTAGTGATAGTAGCAGTAGTGGTGGTGGCAGTAGTAGTAGTAGTAGTAGCAATAGTAGTGGCAGTGGTAGTAGTAATAATAATAATTAGTAATGATAATAATAATAATAATAATAATAATAATAATAATAATAATAATAGTAATAATAATAATAATAATAATAATAATAATAATAATAATAATAATAATAATAATAATAATATGTTCTTGAGGCAGTGGGTAGAATGAAAGTGGGAAAGGCAGCCGAGATTGATGGGGTAAAGACAGAAATGTTAAAAGCAGGTTGGGATATAGTTTTGGAGTGGTTGGTGCTATTATTTAATAAATGTATGGAAGAGAGTAAGGTACCTAGGGATTGGCAGAGAGCATGCATAGTTCCTTTGTATAAAGGCAAAGGGGGCAAAAGAGAGTGCAGAATTATTGGGGAATAAGTCTGTTGAGTATACCTGGTAAAGTGCATGGTAGAGTTATTATTGAAAGAATTAAGGAGGCTTTAGGAAACGTAGGGGGTGTGTAGACCAAGTGTTTACAGTGAAACATATAGGGATTTATGGATGTGGAAAAGGTGTATGACAAGGTGGATAGAGGGGCAATGTGGCAGATGTTGCAGGTGTATGGAATAGAAGGTAGGTTACTGAAAGCAGTGAAGATTTTTATGATTATAGTGGGGCTCAGGTTTGAGTTTGTAGGAGATTATTTCCCAGTAAAAGTAGGCCTTAGACAAGGTTGTGTGATGTCACCGTGGTTGTTCAATATATTTATAGATGGGGTTGTAAGAGAAGTGAATGCGAGGGTGTTGGCAAGAGGTGTGGGGTTAAAAGATAAAGAATCTGACACAAAGTGGGAGTTGTCACAGTTGCTCTTTGCTGATGACACTGTGCTTTTGGGGGATTCCGAAGAGAAGTTGCAGAGGTTGGTGGATGAATTTGGTAGGGTATGTAAAAGAAGAAAATTAAAAGTGAATACAGGAAAGAGTGAGGTGATGAGGATAACAAAAAAATTAAGCGACGAAAGATTGAATATCAGACTGAAGGGAGAGAGTATGGAGGAGGAAAATGTATTCAGATATTTAGGAGTGGACGTGTCATCAAGATGGGTTTATGAAGGATGAGGTGAATCATAGAACTGATGAAGGAAAAAGGGTGAGTGGTGCACTTAGGAGTCTGTGGAGACAAAGAACTTTCTTTGTCTGTGGAAGCAAAGAGGGGAATGTATGAGAGTATAGTTATACCAACACTCTTATATGGGTCTAAAGCATGGGTGGTGAATGTTGCAACACTGAGAAGGCTGGAGGCAGTGGAGATATCATGTCTGAGGGCAATGTGTGGTGTAAATATAATGCAGAGAATTCTTGTTTGAAAATTAGGAGGAGGTGCGGGATTACCAAAACTATTATCCAGAGGGCTGAGAAGGGGTTTTTGAGGTGGTTTGGACATGTAGAGAGAATGGAACAATATTGAATGACTTCGAGAGTGCATAAATCTGTAGTGGAGGGAAACGTTGGAGGGAGGGGGTAAAGGAGGTTTTGTGAGTGGGGGGCTTGGACTTCCAGCGGGCATGCGTGAGCGTATTTGATAGGAGTGAACGGATACAAATGGTTTTTGGACTTGACGTGCTGTTGGAGTGTGAGGTAACATTTATGAAGGGATTCAGGGAAACCGGCAGGCCGGACTTGAGTCCTGGAGATGGGAAGTACAGTGCCTGCACTCTGAAGGAGGGGTGTTAATGTTGCAATTTTATAACTGTAGTGTAAAGCACCCTTCTGGCAAGACAGTGATGGAGTGAATGATGGTGAAATTTTTTTTTTTTCGGGCCACCCTGCCTTGGTGGGAAACGGCCGATGTTTGAATAGTAAAAATAATAATAATAATAATAGTGGTGGTGGTAGTAGCAGTAGTAGTAGTAGTGGTGGTGGTGGTGGTGGTAGTAGTAGTAGTAGTAGTAGTAGTAGTAGTAGTAGTAGTAATAGTAGTAGTAGTAATAATAATAATAATAATAATAATAATAATAATAAAGTAAATAATAATAATAATAATAATAATAATAATAATAATAATAATAAAGTTAATTTTATAAATCTGAATTTTCCAAATTAATGAGACACAGGAGTGACAATGTCAGAGGATCTCACTTTCAAGAATAACAACAATGACATTATCATAAACTAAAGAAAAAGGAAAGTATGGATAACGAGAAGCTTCAGAACAAGAGATGCCAAGCCAATCATAGTCCTGTTTAAGTCACTTGTTCTCTCTAGGCTGGAATATTGTTTTACACTAACAGACGTTTTCAAGGCTGGCGAAATTGCAGATCTAGAACAGAGAATCTTGGCTGCATGCATAAATTCAGTCAAGCCCCTTAAATTAATTACTTCAAGCATTTGCAGTCCCGCGCCCTGAACACCTTGGAAAGCAGGTGAGATACATTATTATTTATACCTGGAAAATAAAAAGGGGATTACTCCTAATCCTGTACACAGAAAACACTCTACCAAAGCAACAGGTTTGACAGGCAGTGCTAAATAGTCCAATGACAGCCAGGGCTGCCAACACAGTGAGAACAGTAAGAGAAGACACAATAAGTGTAAGGGGCCTAAGACGTTTCAATGCTCTGGAAAATCCTAGAGGAACTGGTCCCAAATCTGCACACAGAAATCACTCCCTATGAAAGCAAAGACTCGGCAGACGGTGCAACATCCTCCCCCTTCCTAAAGAAAAGCAAGGGCGCCTCCTATCATATAACAGAGGGATTACCAATAGACACCTGGCTGTCTTCAAAAGGGAGTTGGACAGGCACCTGAAGTCAGTACCTGTCCAGCCGGGCTGTGGTTCGTACGTGCGACCAGCAGTAACAGCCTGGTTGATCAGGTCCTGATCCACCGCGAGGTCTGGTCACAGACCGAAAGGAGGGAGCTCTTACAGTTTAATTAAAGCATTTACAGGTTAGGAAGAACTTTTACAGCTGAGGAACAGTTTTACAAGCTGAGGAAGAGCTCTAAGCTTAGGAAGACATTTAGCAGCTTTGGAAGAGCTTTTATGGCTTACGAAGAGCTTTCATAGCTTGAGAAAAGCTCATTCTTGTGTGACTTTCACCCAACAACAATAATAATCACAGTGAAAGCAAACTGTGTCCCCTTACTCACCTGAGGGGAGGCAGGTGACCTAAGTCACTCACCTGAAGGGAGGCAGGTGACCTAAGTCACTCACCTGAGGGGAGGCAGGTGACCTAAGTCACTCACCTGAAGGGAGGCAGGTGACCTAAGTCACTCACCTGAGGGGAGGCAGGTGACCTAAGTCACTCACCTGAAGGGAGGCAGGTGACCTAAGTCACTCACCTGAAGGGAGGCAGGTGACCTAAGTCACTCACCTGAAGGGAGGCAGGTGACCTAAGTCACTCACCTAAGGGGAGGCAGGTGACCTAAGTCACTCACCTGAGGGAAGGCAGGTGACCTAAGTCACTCACCTGAGGGAAGGCAGGTGACCTAAGTCACTCACTTGAGGGAAGGCAGGTGACCTAAGTCACTCACCTGAGGGAAGGCAGGTGACCTAAGTCACTCACCTGAGGGAAGGCAGGTGACCTAAGTCACTCATCAGAGGGAAGGCAGGTGACCTAAGTCACTCACCTGAGGGGAGGCAAGTGACCTAAGTCACCCACCTGAGGGAAGGAAGTGACCTAAGTCACTCACCAGAGGGAAGGCAAGTGACCTAAGTCACTCACCTGAGGGAAGGCAGGTGACCTAAGTCACTCACCTGAGGGAAGGAAAGTGACCTAAGTCACTCACCTGAGGGAAGGCAAGTGACCTAAGTCACTCACCAGAGGGAAGGCAAGTGACCTAAGTCACTCACCAGAGGGAAGGCAAGTGACCTAAGTCACTCACCTGAGGGGATGCAAGTGACCTAAGTCACTCATCAGAAGGAAGGCAAGTGACCTAAGTCACTCACCTGAGGGAAGGCAAGTGACCTAAGTCACTCACCAGAGGAAAGGCAAGTGACCTAAGTCACTCACCAGAGGGAAGGCAAGTGACCTAAGTCACTCACCTGAGGGAAGGCGTGACCTAAGTCACTCACCTGAGGGAAGGCAAGTGACCTAAGTCACTTACCTGAGGGAAGGCAAATGACCTAAGTCACTCACCAGAGGGAAGGCAAGTGACCTAAGTCACTCACCAGAGGGAAGGCAAGTGACATAAGTCATTCACCTGAGGGAAGGCAAGTGACCTAAGTCACTCACCTGAGGGAAGGCAAGTGACCTAAGTCACTCACCTGACGGAAGGCAAGTGACCTAAGTCACTCATCAGAGGGAAGGCAAGTGACCTAAGTCACTCACCAGAGGGAAGGCAAGTGACCTAAGTCACTCACCAGAGGGAAGGCAAGTGACCTAAGTCACTCACCAGAGGGAAGGCAAGTCACTCACCTGAGGGAAGGCAAGTGACCTAAGTCACTCACCTGAGGGAAGGCAAGTGACCTAAGTCACTCAACTGAGGGAAGGCAAGTGACCTAAGTCACTCACCTGAGGGAAGGCAAGTGACCTAAGTCACTCACCTGAGGGAAGGCAAGTGACCTAAGTCACTCACCTGAGGGAAGGCAAGTGACCTAAGTCACTCACCAGAGGGAAGGCAAGTGACCTAAGTCACTCACCAGAGGGAAGGCAAGTGACCTAAGTCACTCACCAGAGGGAAGGCAAGTGACCTAAGTCACTCGTCTGAGGGAAGGCAAGTGACCTAAGTCACTCACCTGACGGAAGGCAAGTGACCTAAGTCACTCACCTGAGGGAAGGCAAGTGACCTAAGTCACTCACGTGAGGGAAGGCAAGTGACCTAAGTCACTCACCTGAGAGAAGGCAAGTGACCTAAGTCACTCACCTGAGGGAAGGCAAGTGACCTAAGTCACTCACCAGAGGGAAGGCAAGTGACCTAAGTCACTCACCAGAGGGAAGGCAAGTGACCTAAGTCACTCACCTGAGGGAAGGCAAGTGACCTAAGTCACTCACCTGAGGGAAGGCAAGTGACCTAAGTCACTCAACTGAGGGAAGGCAAGTGACCTAAGTCACTCACCTGAGGGAAGGCAAGTGACCTAAGTCACTCACCTGAGGGAAGGCAAGTAACCTAAGTCACTCACCTGAGGGAAGGCAAGTGACCTAAGTCACTCACCTGAGGGAAGGCAAGTGACCTAAATCACTCGCCTGAGAGAAGGCAAGTGACCTAAGTCACTCACCTGAGGGAAGGCAAGTGACCTAAGTCACTCACCTGAGGGAAGGCATGTGACCTAAATCACTCGCCTGAGGGAAGGCAAGTGACCTAAGTCACTCACCTGAGGGAAGGCAAGTGACCTAAGTCACTCACGTGAGGGAAGGCAAGTGACCTAAGTCACTCGCCTGAGAGAAGGCAAGTGACCTAAGTCACTCACCTGAGAGAAGGAAAGTGACCTAAGTCACTCACCTGAGGGAAGGCAAGTGACCTAAGTCACTCGTCTGAGGGAAGGCAAGTGACCTAAGTCATTCACCTGTGGGGAGGCAGGTGACATTAGTCTCTCACCTGAGGGAAGGCAAGTGACCTAAATCACTCACCTGAGGTAAGGCAAGTGACCTAAGTCACTCACTGAGGGGAGGCAGGTGACCTAAGTCACTCACCTGAGAGGAGGCAGGTGACCTAAGTAACTCACTGAGGGGAGGCAGGTGACCTAAGTCACTCACCTGAGAGGAGGCAGGTGACCTAAGTCACTCACTAAGGGGATGCAGGTGACCTAAGTCATTCACTGAGGGGAGGCATGTGACCTAAGTCACTCACCTGAGGGGAGACAGGTGACATAAGTCGCTCATCTATGGGGAGGCAGGTGATTTCGGTGACTCATCTGAGGTGAGGCAGATGACCTCCGTGATTCATCTGAGGAGAGACATGTGATTCTGACTCACCTGAGGAGAGACAGGTGACTCACCTGAGGAGAGACAGGTGACTCACCTGAGGAGAGACAGGTAACTTCGGCGACTCACCTGAGGAAGGCAAGTGACCTCAGTGACTCACCTGAGAGGAGGCAGGTGAACTGAGTGACTCACCTGAGAGGAGGCAGGTGAACTCAGTGACTCACTTGAGGGGAAGCAGGTGATTCACCTGAGAAGAGTCAGGTGACTTCAGTGACTCGCCTGAGGGAAGACAGGTGACCTCATTGACTCACCTGAGGGAAGGCAGGTGACTTCAATGACTCAACTGATTTGAGACAGGTGACCTCAGTGACTTACCGGAGGGAAGGCAGGTGACCTCAGTGACCTGAGAAGAGGCAGGTGGCCTCAGTGACTCACCTGAGGGTAAGCAGGTGACTCACCTGAGGAGAGTCAGGCGATTTCAATGACTCACCTGAGGTGAGACAGGTGATTTCGGTGACTCATGTGAGGAGAGACAGGTGACTTCTGACTCACCTGAGGAGAGACAGGTGACTTCTGACTCACCTGAGGAGAGACAGGTGACTTCTGTGACTCACCTGAGGGGAGACAGGTGACTCACCTGAGGAGAGACAGGTGGCTTCGGTGACTCACCTGATGAGAGACAGGTGACTCACCTAAGGGGAGACAGGTGATTCACGTGATGAGAGACAGGTGACTCACCTGAGGAGAGACAGATGACTTTGGTGACTCACCTAAGGGAAGGCATCTGACTTTGGTGACTCACCTCAGGGGGGACTGGTGACTCACCTCAGGGGGGACTGGTGACTCACCTCAGGGGGACTGGTGACTCACCTGAGGGATGGCAGATGACTTCAATGACTCACCTGAGGTGAGGCAAGTGACCTCAGTGACTCACCTGAGGGAAGGTAGGTGACCTCAGTGACTCACCTGAGGGGAGACAGGTGACTTCAATGACTCACCTGAGGTAAGGGAGGTGACCTCACTAACTCACCTGAGGGAAGGCAGGTGACCTCATTGACTCATTTGAGGGGAGACAGGTGACCTCAGTGACTCATCTGAGGGGTGACAGTGACTTTAGTGACTTATCTGAGGGGAGACAGGTGGCTTCAATGACTCATCTGAGGGAAGGGAGGTGACTCACCTGAGGGGAGACAGGTGATCTTGGAGGCACCTGCCAGGTAGTAGCCATCAGGGCAGGAGAAGGTGAAAGAGGCGCCTAAGGTGACACTGTCGCCGTGGACACGAAGCACTTGGTCACCCGACACAGGTGGACAGCTGACACCTGCAACACACACCTAGGTGAGTATCTTCACCTGACACTCTTTGTCTCCTAGGTATTACCTTCACTCCCATCCTCCCCATCCCCTTTCCACTCTCCCTCTCTCCCTCCTACCCTCCCTCTCTCCCTCACTCCAATCCTCCCTCTCTCCTTTCCACTCTCCCTCTCTCCCTCCCACCCTCCCCTCTCCCTCACTCCCATCCTCCCTCCTCCTTCCACCTCTCCCTCTCTCCCTCCCACCCTCTCTCTCTCTCCTTTTTCTCAGCTCTCTCCATACCTTCCCTCTCTCCCTCCCTCCCTCCACACCATTACTCCCTCATTCCCACATCCGTTTTTTCTCTTTCACTTCCTCCCTATCTCCCACCCATCCCCTCCTCTACTCTTTCCCCTCCATCATTTCCACCCTCACTCATACAACTCATCCCTCTAATTACATTCTTTCTCCTTTCCACCCACCCTCCTTCCCTTCCTCTCCCTCCTTCCCTTCCTCTCCCTCCTTCCCTTCCGCTCCCTCCTTCCCTTCCCCTCCCTCATTCCCTCCCTCCTCCCTCCCTCACACTAGGTATCAAGTCGTCAATTGTACTGAAACTCGACACCCGCTGCTGTGTTACCAGGCGTATGATGAGTCTTATTGTGGAGGCGTGCACTCTGGTGTCAGGAGGTCACACACACTGGGGGGGTGTCAGGAGGTCACACACACTGGGGTGTCAGGAGGTCACACACACTGGGGTGTCAGGGAGTCACACACACTGGGGTGTCAGGGAGTCACACACACTTGGGTGTCAGGGAGTCACACACACTTGGGTGTCAGGTCACACACACTGGGGTGTCAGAAGGTCACACACACTGGGGTGTCAGGAGGTCACACACACTGGGGTGTCAGGGAGTCACACACACTTGGGTGTCAGGAGGTCACACACACTGGGGTGTCAGGAATTCACACACACACTGGGGTGTTAGGGGATCACACACACACTGGGGTGTCAGGACGTCACACACACACTGGGGTGTCAGGGGTCACACACACTGGGGTGTCAGGACGTCACACACATTGGGGTGTTAGGGGGGTCACACACACTGGAGTGTCAGGGAGTTACACACACTGGTGTGTCAGGGGGTCATACACCCTGGGGTGTCAGGGAGTCAGAAATACTGGGCTGTCAGGGGATCACACACTGGGGTGTCAGGGATGTCACACACGCTGGAGTGTCAGGGTATCACCTACACTGGGGTGTCAGGGTGTCACACACACTGGGGTGTCAGGGGGGCCACTCACGCTGGGGTGTCAGGGAGAGTCAGAAACACTGGGCTGTCATGGGGTCACACACTGGGGTGTCAGGGTGTTCACACACGCTGGGGTGTCACGGTATTACACACACTGGGGTACCAGGGGGGTCACACACACTGGGGTGCCAGGGGGATCACACACGCTGGGGTGTCACGGTATTACACACACTGGGGTACCAGGGGGGTCACACACACTGGGGTGCCAGGGGGGTCACACACGCTGGGGTGTCAAGGGGTCACACACACTGGGGTGTCAGGGGGGTCACACACGCTGCGGTGTCAGAGTATTACACACACTGGGGTGTCAGGGGGGTCACATACGCTGGGGTGTCATGGTATTACACACACTGGGGTGCCAGGGGGGTTACACACGCTGGGGTGTCAGGAGGGTCACACACACTGGGGTGTCAGGGGGTCACACACACTGGGGTGTCAGGGGGTCACACACATTGACCCTAAACTAATAAACAAGTGACCATATAAACAGCGGACTTAATAAACAACTGACTTAACAGAAGCATTTACAAGTGATCGACAGAGACAAAATGTCACTTAATTGAACAATATATTCATTTTAAAAGAAAAGTAGAAAAAAAAATAAGGAAAACCTAAGAGAGATCATGAAATTAATGTCGCTTCGTAATCCAAGACCAATATAAAAAAATTCTCTCTGGTATAAAAGAATAAGATTAAGGGAAGAATATCTGTCCATTTAGATGTAACAAAATCCCCCCAACAAACACAGAATACAACCTCGTTCATATTTGCTAATATACAGGGCCTTAAACCATCCACCAACAACAAAATACCTTTTATCAGTGGACTTCTAGAGGAGTCTAATGCAATGTTTGCAGCCTTCACAGAGACTCACACAAAAGATCACTTTAACAGTGAAATATGGATAAGTGGTTACGACCTTTTTAGATGCGACAGAAAAAACAGGCAACAAGGGGGGGTGTTGGCCTGTATGTCAAAGAGTCCCTTATCTGCACGGAGTTGCTGAACACCACAAATGAGGTAGTTGAAGTTCTATCAATAAAGATCGAGAACCAAAACCTAGTCATTGTGGTTGTATACAAGCCACCAGATGCAACCTCACAACAGTTCAAGGAACAGCTACTGAAAATTGATTACTGTTTGGAAAACCTTCCAGCTCCATCCCCAAACATCTTACTGCTTGGTGATTTCAACCTAAGGCATACAAAATGGAAGAATGTAGCAAATAATGTTATAGCTGAAACAATCCCCGGAGGTAGCACAGATGAAAGGTCACACACACACATGAGCTACTAAGTCTCTGCGAAAAACACACCTTAAGCCAGCAGATAGTGGAGCCAACAAGACTAGAAAACACACTTGACCTTATCTTCACAAATAATGAGGACCTGATAAGAGACATAAGAATATCAAAAACAACTAATTCCGATCACAACCTAATCGAAGTTCAGACGTACATGCATAGGGGTCCTGATCAGCAGAATGCATGTACCTGTGAAGGTGTCTTCACAAAATACAACTTCAACAACAAGAACATCAACTGGGACCAGGTAAACCATGTCCTAAACGAAACATGTTGGGAAGATGTCATAAATGACATGGATCCAAACCAGTGCCTTGAAAGGATCAACTTCCTGGTAGCCGAAGCATGTTCTAGGCATATTCCCCTAAGAAAGAAGAAGAGCAGAAGTAAACTGGAGAGAAAAAGACGCTCCCTCTACGGAAGACGACGAAGAGTCACTGAGCTCCTCAGGAGTGCTAGAACATCTGATACACGAAAGGAGGCGCTGACCAGGGAAGTGGAACTATCGAACTTAAGCTAAATGACTCTTACAGGAACCAGGAGAGGCAGGAGGAGCTTAAAGCTATTAGTGAAATTGAAAGAAATTCAAAATATTTCTTTTCATATGCCAAAAACAAGGCAAATACCACATCTAGTATCGGGTCCTTACTCAGACAGGATGGGACTTACACAGATGACAACAAGGAAATGAGTGAAATATTGAAATCCCAGTACAAACTCTGTGTTAGTGAACCACTAATCGGTCTGAGGATCGACGACCCAAATGATTTTTCTTCATGAATGAGCCTCAAAACTCCATAAATGTATGCCAGATTTCCGACATTACCCTAACTCCGATAGATTTCGAAAAAACCATTGACAGCATGCCTATGCACTCAGCCCCGGGCCCAGACTCGTGGAACTCTGTTTTCATTAAGAACTGCAAGAAACCCCTCTCGCGTGCCCTAAGTACACTACGGAGGACGAGCTTGGACATGGGTGAAATTCCACAGTCACTTAAAACAACGGATATAGCCCCACTCCATAAAGGTGGCAGCAAAGCATTAGCTAAGAACTATAGACCAATAGCTCTGACGTCCCACATCATAAAAATCTTTGAAAGAGTGCAAAGAAGCAGGATTGCAAATCACCTGGATTCCCAAAATCTGCACAATCCAGGGCAACATGGGTTCAAGGCAGGTCGCTCCTGCCTCTCACAACTACTGGATCACTATGACATGGCCTTGGATGCACTGGAAGAAAGTCAGAATGCAGATGTAATATACACAGACTTTGCAAAAGCATTTGACAAATGCGATCATGGCGTAATAGCCCATAAAATATGTGCTAAAGGAATAACTGGGAAAGTGGGGAGATGGATCTTCAACTTCCTAACAAATCGAACACAAAGAGTAGTGGTCAACAGAGTTAAATCGAGGCTGCCATAGTGAAGAGCTCTGTTCCACAAGGCACAGTACTCGCCCCCATCTTATTCCTTATCCTCATATCAGACATAAACAGAGATATACACCACAGCACCGTATCATCCTTTGCGGATGATACTAGGATCTGCATGAGGCTGTCATCTGCTGAGGACGCGGTTAATCTCCAAGAAGATATAAACAAAGTTTTCCAATGGGCAACGGTAAACAATATGATGTTCAATGAGGACAAATTCCAACTACTCCGTTATGGAAAACTGGAGGAGATAATAACTAGAACAGATATACTATGACTCCGGCCATACAATAGAGCGGAAAACTAATGTAAGGGACCTGGGAGTAGTAATGTCTGAGGATCTCACTTTCAAGGATCACAACAGTGCCACGATCGCACGTGCAAAGAAAATGATAGGATGGATAATGGGAACTTTCAAAACGAGAGATGCCAAGCCCATGATGATCCTTTTCAAATCACTTGTTCTCTCTAGGCTGGAATACTGCTGTACATTAACATCTCCATTCAAAGCAGGTGAAATCGCAGATCTAGAGAGTGTACAGAGATCCTTTACTGCACGTATAAGTTCTGTCAAGCACCTTAACTACTGGGAACGTTTGGAAGCACTTGACTTGTACTCGTTGGAACGCAGGAGGGAGAGATATATCATAATCTACACTTGGAAAATCTTGGAAGGAGTGGTCCCAAATCGGCACACAGAAATCACTCCCTATGAAAGTAAAAGACTGGGCAGGCGATGCAAAATGCCCCCAATAAAAAGTAGGGGCGCCATTGGTACACTAAGGGAAAACACCATTAGTTTCCGGGGCCCAAAACTGTTTAACAGCCTCCCATCAAGCATTAGGGGAATTGCCAATAAACCCCTGGCTGCCTTCAAGAGAGAGCTGGACAGATACCTAAAGTCAGTGCCGGATCAGCCGGGCTGTGGCTCGTACGTTGGACTGCGTGCGGCCAGCAGTAACAGCCTGGTTGATCAAGC